TATCATGACCGCATTGGTCAGTAAGTGAAAAACTAAGGCGTTTACCAGAGCTAATATTTGTGAACAGTCAGATTTGAAGGGAGTTATTACTGTTGTGACATTAAAGATTAAAACAATATAGATAAAATAGCCAACCACTCGCAAATGGAACCAGGTAACAGCACAGGGCGGCAGCAGCAACCCACCATTGTAAAAGCAGTGCAACGCCCCGTTAACGGGGACAATGACAAGTATAACGGAGACAAGTTGTAACAGCACAGAAGACGACAGAGGTGACGACAGGTTGTACCAGCAGAGGGAGATGACGGGACAACGACAGGTATAACAGCAGAAGGAGACAACATGGGAGAACGACAGGCTGTAACAACAAAGGAAACGAAAGCAAAACAAGATCACATGCTGACGGGTTCAACAACATGGTCAAACAACATAAAGTGAAGAATAATGCAATGCACGTTATCCCTCATGTAGACACGATACATATGCTCACAGCATATAGACACAACATATGAATCTGACATATAGACTTTAAACCAATACATATACAGCTTCCATTACATAAGCACAATACATGGACACACCAGAAGACACATAAACATATTTTTGGCACTAAAAGAACCCCATAGATAAAAGTGAAAAAACATCAGTTATTTCACCTTTCTGATTCCTGACCCTCCGCGGATGGGTTTGTCGTTGGATTGCCAACTTGAAGAAAGACGATTTGCCATCGAACTTCTGGCCAGAGAAAAAACACGTAATGTGTAGCCAACATTTGGAAGAAGAATGTTTTTAAGATGACTTTGATAATAGGGCGTTGTGACAAACACCAGATCCAGCACTGGGACTTGATCAACAGCCGATACCGCACCGTGACGTCACAAACCAGTAGGTGGCAGTAGTGTTCTTTGACAAACATGGATGCCTCCAGTAAAGCACATTCACATGAATATTACTCCTAATTAAAAACATTTATCATTCACTGAACAAAGTACTTTCAAAAGTTTGAATTGTGAATATGACCAGACTTGTCCTTTAAATTCTTCAGACTAAAAGTTGTAGCTCAGCTAATTAGGACACCTTTATGTTGTCAGTCTATAAAAAATGGAGATCCACAAGGCACAGTTCTTGTGCCTCCAATATTTTACTTATCTCTGTTATGATCAATCTTCTCTTCTTCCAAGAAAAATCCAGATTCAGTTTTTGTGAAATCATTTAATGTATTCATCTCAAACTCATTTGTTTTGGCTGAGTTGTAAGAACAGATCTGTTTGCCATTTCTCAGTCATCTTCCAGGAAAAACTGTCAAAATGTAATCTGTATTTCACATAACTTGATACTCAGCTTTAAAAAGATCAAAGTACAGTTTTTATAGTCTTATGCCTTTTACAACCCAAAGAGTCTTTTTTTGGCCTCCTTGCAGCTAAATAAAACCCATTTAATTGTACATTGAATACAATTTTTTACCATTTGCTATTTTTTTTTGCTTTTGGGACAGGGATACATTTTCCTCTCTGAGGTGTTGGCATTTGTGTAAATATAATAATGTTGATACAAGTCAATCACTCCATGAAGAAAAAGCTAAAATAAGTTATTGTACTGATATTTAAAACCTTGGATTTCTAATAATAGCCTTAATGGAAGGTCCAATGAGCCTCTCAGGTTGTAGAGCCCTGGGCTTAGATCATCTGATAGTAATCACAGCTGATTCAATAAACTTTTGCATCGTCTCCAATCAGAACTTTTTAAGATAAGAATTAAATGCGAGGCTCAGCAGTATTTATGTCTAAAATGGTCTGAGAGGAGATTATTGCAAGCATTGGGTTGTAATGTAGGATTCATATTTCTACGCAGTTTGAAAGAAACTGCAATATTTCAGATTTTTTAAATATTCTGCACCTCCTTTTCAGGTTTTATTTTTTTTAAATCTAAATCAAAGCTTAAGTTTTTGTTATTACAGCCCAAAAGCAAAGCGGAGATCATTAATGAGAAGACACAGGCTTAGGTTGGACGTTTTTATGATGACTCTGGTATTACAGTGCAGGATGTTCTCAATCAGGAAGGAGATCTACCGTCTGAGTCCAAACGGCTAAAAAGAAACCCATCATCAGGAAGAAGCAGAGCAGCAAAAGACGAAGAAAAGAAAGAGTCACAGTCAGACAGGTAATCAGGTCAGGAAACACATTTCCACCGGGCAGGACTGTGTGTTTGTGGCACTTCAATGGTTTCAGACCCTCTGAGTGAGTTTGGGGAGGAGGTGAACTGCTCAAACCTGCGAGTGTTTTCATGCTACGCGTGTCTTTGTGTACATTCACTAATTGCACTTGAGGATGAGGATATGTGGAGACTACATTGCCGGTCAGACGTCTGCAGGAGATTTTTTTTTTTTCTTTTTATGGGGAATTTTCTGGAGAGGTTTGGAACACAAACAGAAAATCAAATCGTTTTCAAAAAAAGCAAACAGCGGCTGAGGTTCTGACAGAATCAGACGGGTTTAAAGAGCCTCTGTAAAACATAAAGGAAGGAGAGAACCGAGCGGTACCAGGTTCTGCTCAAAAAGAACATCCAAACCAGAAGAAAAGGTGAAGTTTCATCCTGAGATGGTTGAACTGAACCCTTCACTTTAAAACAAAAAGAAGCAGCAGGAGATAAGAGTTAGCTTATAAAACAGGAAGTTCCATTGAAAAAATAAAACAAAAACCAGAATCATGTTTCCATCCATGTTGCATTAGAGCAGAAACATAGTGAGAACATGTGAGATCATGTCTAAAATAGAGCGGTGACACTGTAGCTGATGGAAGTCCTTCATACAGCAGGTCCGGCTGACAGGAGCAATGGAGACTCTTCTAATTACACACCAAAGAATCCAAACTGCAGAACTCAGGAAGCTTTCCTTCAAGGGTTCTACCCAGAGCAGAGCATCCTTATCTGTCAGTTGTTCCAGACCTACCCCTAAAATTGAGTTAAAGCGCTTAGCTAAACGTATTAAGTTTGATCTCATTCCAAATGGAAACGATGAAGAGAAGATCTTATTATTACCTTGGATCAAGAAGAATAGCAGCAAATTTAAGGTTCAAATGTACAAGTCAAATAGCAGAGGTGAAGTATTTGTGGAGTTCAGCTGTTTTTTCTATAAAGTCAAACAATAAATGAATTAAAACTAGTAATACGACTGGCTGAATTTATCATGTTTGCTGATGATACACAGATTTTTACAAAGGGTCAGTCTTTCCAACAGAAGCAGCCATTTAAACTTGAGCAGGTCATAGAAGGTTAGACTTTACCAGGACCGGTTTTCATTTTGATCACTTTTACAGTTTTTCCATAATCATAGGTCGATGATTTAAGATTTTCACACAGAACAGAGTCTGATGATCTTACTCTGCTTTCTTTTTCTATTCTTTTTAATATTTATATACGCTTTGTTTCAGCTTTCAAGGCCACAGTTTAATCTCAAGTCCAGAGAGACGACCCCAAACACTCACGCTGTCCCCCTAGATTTCAGCTCTGAATTAAACCTGTCAGATCTTTATACAACTCTAAAATATTCTCCCACTTGAAGTTCAAGAATTATTTAGGTTCGAACAATAGTTTTAAAGCGACAACTTATTTGAGGCTTAACTTGAGGTGTGTTGAAAACACGGGGAACAGAGTGGGAGGATGTGGTTTTCAGTTAATCCACAAATTCTCATCATGATTCAAATGGCCAAACACCAAATCCTGATACAAAGAAGACTCCAACAACCCAGGATGATGACAGCACCTGACTTGGAATGGATGGACCTTAAGCTACTGAAACCCATCAGTGTTCCAGCTTCAGACTGCTCTACTGCGAGAGGAAAAAACTGACAAACACTTCTGGACGCTCATTGAAATGTCTACATAAAAACTAAGCAAAAAGTCCTGCTGTCATGTGGTCTTCATGACCCAAATGAATGAGAATTTATACGGGTATTGTAAGAAAACGGTAACTACATTCCCTCCTGCCGTCTGCTAAGAAGCAGAGGTTTTACTGGAGGAGAAAGCTGGACGCAGTATTCCTAATAATCCAGACAGTATTAGTAGAAGGGTTAGTGCCCTTCTTAGTACTAATAGGAAATAGTTGGGGGGGGGTTGATGAGTGGTAGGTAAAATTGAGCAACTCGGTGAGCATGAATGAGATGAGATGTTGTTCGGGGTACATTTTTTCCACATTGGTCAATTTGAAGAGTATAAACCCCTTGAACCCTAGTCGACCTCGGCAGATGGCCGCTCACATACAGTCTGGTTCTGCTGGAGGTTTCTTCCTGTTAAAAGGGAGGTTTTCCTCTCCACTGTCGCTACAAGCATGCTTAGTGTGAGCAATTTCCTTTGAGTCAATAAGTTGATGCAATCAACTAGCCTCGTGAGACCATCCTGATCTCGCGAGCTTTCAAGATTTCACTCGCTAATCAGTCTGGAGACTCTCCGTTAAAGAAAATTTGGAGCCGTTCACCAAACGAACGTCCAATCAGCGTTGGCTTTGAGGCGGGTTGAGGTGTGACGCAACGAGAAGCGCGACAGTTCAGTCTAAAGAACGTGGCAGCTTCAGCCGATGAAACTAGCATTAGCGTGGCTATCGAGCAAGTTGTATTGGAATTACAGAGTATTTCTTCACTGAAAGAAGAGCAAAACACTGCTCTGGAGGCTTTTCTCAGAGGAAAATATTTTTTTGCTCTTCTCCCGACTGGTTTCGACAAGAGTAGCCTGGCTTATGGTTGTGTTTTCGTCGTCACTCTGTTGGTACGTCATATGCTTCGTTGATCTGATTGGTTTATTTGGCCCGTCTATCACCAACATAGGCCAATCAGCTAACCAGTATTTTCGCCCCTTCCCAAAATTACTTCAACGGAAGGTTTCCAGATGGATATGCGGAGCAAATCCATCTGGCGGAGTCAGGTTAGCAATCAACTGGTTTTCCTAAGAAAACTTTGAATCAATTTGACTGGATGATATGGTTGAACTGTAAAGTGCCTTGGGATGACATGTGTTGTGAATTGGTGCTATAGAAATAAACCGAATCAAATTGAATAAAAATGGAAGAGATCAGCATCCAAAGGTTCCTGCTTTGTGATTTTCTTTACAAAATGAACGACTTTGTTTTGTTTAGAGGAACAGCAAACTAACAACCTCGGATGAAGGGATATCCATCGGCACAGTGTCGCCTGTCTGCTAACATGGAAGTTCCTTAAAAAAAAACGGACGTCAACAATCAGGAGAAAAAGTGGTGATTTTTACATTCTGTGCAAAATTTAACAATAAGTAGCCCACAACATATCATTAGTACATTTTTCCTTCTGCCTACACTCTTCAGTCAGTTTTTCTTCTATTTACAGTTAGCTTCTAATATTAGTACCATCATTGCCCAGCAGGGTTAAGACATTCCTCAGAGGGACGAAATCCACCTCTGCATGGATCTCTGCTGGTTCCACTCCTGGTTCAAGAGGACACAATAATTTCGGATAATGTACAGCCTTCCTCTCCATTTACATCATTCACTTGATAATCTGGTTGTTAACAGAACCCAGAATAAAGTGGATTACTTTGGAAATTTGATCTGTTAGTCTCTTTTCCAGGATCCCTGATAAGTATCAACCTTTTTCCAGGACCAGCGTTTGGATCACGAGGTGGATTTCAGTCCCTTCCTTCAGTGTTTAAAAACAAGCTGTCAGTTTAAAAGGCATTGAGAAGGTAGAAAACACAGGGCACACAGTGAAAAACCAGGGCAGAGGGGAGGGAGTATAAAAATAAAACTAAAAAAATAAAAAACTGTGGCAGACGAGACGATCACTTCACTTTGTGGCAGGAAACATAAAAAAAGTTAAAAAAGAAAGTTTCATAGGTGGGTCGGAGGGGGGAGATCAGGTGAGGGGAGGGGGAGGAGGCCGGGAACCTCAGGAGGAATGTCTCAAGGTTTCAGAAGAACTTGTCATCGATGCGGAAGTGCGGCCGTGTGACATCGTCCGGGTTGATGAACACCGATATGGACTTCCCGGGATTCTCCGTCACCAGCTGCTGCAGCTTCTTGGCCAGCCGGTCGTCGGGCTGGTTGTCGCCTCCGGAGTCGGACTGCGGCGACGGCAGGTTGGTGGAGCTGCCTCGCCACTGCAGCTCCACCGTCAACCTGTTGGCGGCCTTGGCGTGCTCGATGGTGGTGCGGAGGTGCTCGGCCGGGTCAGAACGCACCGAGGACAGTTTGCGGGCGTGCAGCATGGCCGTCTCGTCCGACAGGTGCTCCAACATGTTGCACTGAGGGATGAAGTAGTTGGGACACATCTTGTTGACGAGGCAGTGCTGCAGGTCGTCAATCAGGCCCAGCAGGAAGTGGGCGGAGAAGTCTTCCTGAGCCAGGTAGTTGGCAGGGAGACGGTCGCAGGCCCACAGCATGATACTGCGCAGGTGGTAGGGACTGATGGCCTTTGGCCGGGACAGCAGCTTGATGATGATAGCCTTGCAGGCCTGATACGCCTGCATCAGGCTTGAAGAGATACACTTCTTTAGCTGCACCTCACTGCGGGCGAACGACAGCCGCCACTCGTTCTCCTTGCGGCCTTTGTAGGAGCAAGCGGGGACGAGGTAGAAGCCGCTGATCACCTCCTCCTCCGTGATCTTCCCGTCCCAGAAGTGGTTCTCCATCAGCCAGCTCTGAGCTACCGCCGGCCAGCCTTTAAATGACACGACGGGAACGATGTCGTAGAGCATCCTGCTGCTGCCGACTCCCAGGATAACGGAGATGATGGTCCCGTTCCGCTCCACCTTCTCGACCCTTGGCATCCCTCTCTGTGGCTTCTTCTGCACCTCCAGCAGCACAAGAGATATGGACTGGTAGAACCAGTCGGCCACTAGTGTTGGGGAGAAGAAGTAGTTGGTGGTCCCGTTGATGTGGTCGACGATGGTGCAGCAGTCCTTCCACTTGTTGATAGTTCCTTCGTCAAAGAGGCGGAGGCTGAGCCAGGAGTGGCCCAGCGCAGAGTGCCTCATGTCCAGGGTTACTGGCTGGTTGCGGTCGTGCAGTTTGAGTGCGGGGACCAACAGAGTGAAGTCCATGTCGTAGTCTGTGCCGCGGGCGTAGACGCTGAGCTCGTCCAGGTCCATGTCCACCACACCTTCCCGAACACCTCCAGAAAGGAGCAGGTACTCATTGGCCACTGGGAGCTTCTGATCCAGTTTCTGAACCATTCCTATGATGGAGAAACAGAAAGACCCAATCAGGAAAGGGATCAGATCAAAGGTCTCCAGTAAAATCACCGGAACCCCGGTCTCTGACAAACCTCTTACAGAATCCGCCCTCAGCTAAAGAGGTACACTCAAAGGAGCAACAAATAAAAGTGATACCTGGAGTTTTAAACAAACACACAGATCGCCAATTCAAGAGAGACGAGGACGTATTGGAGCTAAATCCAAGATGATGACGACAACACAGCCACAGTAAGGATGCCGAGGCATCTAGGATATTGTTAAGATCTTTTCTGTCCACTTCTCTTACTGGTCTCCATGTTTGCAGCCTACTGCACCCATCCGCTGGTCTTTTGCAAAAATAAAACACAAAAACACTGCGGTCTGTTTTCACAAGCCAGCTAATCACTGCAGCGAAGTACGCCTGAGACGACTGGGGCAAAACGTGAATAAAGGCCAATTTCTGTTTCTAACGCATATAGACCTGTCACGATAACAAATTTTGCAGAAAGATTAATTGTCTCAAAAATTATTGCGATAAACGATAATATTGTTTGAAGACCTTTTTACACTGATTTAATGTAAATGACGTAATAATGCATGCATTTTCCTGCCAAAGATAAAACGAGAAATAAAAATTAAATGAACTCTCAGTCTCTGGTAACTTAAAATACACTTGAATAAAAACTAAACACAAGATAAAACCACAGTGAAAATAAAAACGTATATACAAAATATCACGTTGGTGATATGTTTTCTGGGGAGTTCATCCTGTCTATCAAATGTCTGCAACATTTTTTAAAATGCCGCCTTTTCAACAATATTAAATGGGAGCATCTCTTTAGCAATTAAATGAACTACACTGTCTGTGAGCGCTCACCACTTTGCGCCGTCATTTTTGTATGCTGCCTGTCGATTAATTGCTTCAGTGATGGGGGACTGTCGCAAACTTGAAGACACAGACGGGCCACCGCTTGTACTTTTTGTTTCAAGCTGGAGAAACTTTGCTGGGTGGTTGTGCTTTAGGTGCATGTGAAGGTTGGTTGTATTGCTGCTCTTAGTTGCTACTGTTTTATCACAAATGCGACATACTGGCTCGCATAGGTTCAGCGGTTCGCCTCTGTCATTTGGTTTGAATCCGAAATACTCTCACACTGCAGCTGTTGCGCTAGGCTTTCAAACCAGTTCCATTTCGAGCTTTTTCCCCCCAACATAAGATGTGTTTTTTTTTACCTCGCTAACTCCTAACGGGGCTCTAAAGCTGCAGAAGTACAAAATGATGCACGCCGACTACCTGATGCGATAGTCCACTCCTCCTCCCTCCTCAAAAATGAGGAAGGGGAGGGGTCAGTGGATAGCACCGGAGTTAAGCCTTTTAATCCAGCGTCATCAATAGAAGGAGGAAAAACACAAGCAGAGATGATATAGCCGATAAATGAAATGACGTGGATAATTTTTATTTATCGTGCGATTATTTGATTTATTGATTATCGCGACAGACATAGCCTCTGGCACCGTTAAATCTGTCACTGTGCTCGACAACGCCCCCCACGCAGAGGTACTGCAACCGTTGCGCAACTCAAAAAAATCCTGACTACACGTCGGACAGTTGCAAACCCACGTAGACCTCAAGCGGAAGTGTACAGAGAAAAAGCAGCTGTGATTGGTCCTTGGTTTGGCTTTCCGGCTGTCTGTGTGGTCGTCCTTCTCGATTCGGTGCAGGGGCAAGCCATTTTTAAAAACCGGAGAACGACTACAATGGACAACTACGACGAAAGGTTAATCGAGGAGATTTGGAAGTACAACTACTTGTACGATGCCTCAGACAAATTATATAAAGATGCCAAGGTCTCTGCCAAAACGTTCTCGTGACCATCCGCCAAAGTTCTCGCAAGTTCTCGAATAGGCTCCCCCTTGTGCTTTGGTGGGAAACTGCTCTGCATCCCTAGAAATTTCAGACTGACGGTGCAGAAGCATACCAGCAAAACTGGTTCGCGACCAGACCCAAGAGACATTTGATGTGTGCGGATGCAGAACAATCTGGCCTTTAGAATACCAGAACACATCAGTAAGTACAAAAAGTAAAAATCACAGCTGGTTTCTACTTTTTCAAAGACTTTTTCTGTCTTCCAAGTAGGGCTGCAACTAGAGATTATTTTGCAAGTCGAAAAAACTGGCGATTATTTTTTTCGAAAAATTGATTAATAATTGGATAGCTAAAGGTTCTTCAAAGAAGTTTTTCTACGAAATTAATCCAAGTGAAAATAAAACTTTTCAACTTGAGGTGTTCTGGATAGGCATATTGATGGACGAAAAAAATATTTTTTTAATCCTAAATGTGAAATGTTTATAGATTTTTTTTTTACAATTTTGGTATAATTACCAAAATCTAAGCAGGTTGCTCTGTAAACTAAAAAAATGTTTTAGAGTCTCTACACTCCAGGTAACGATTAAAGGAATAGTACACCCAAAACATGATTAGCCTTCATTTTCTACTCACCCCCATGCTGAACAACACTCTGGAGTACTTTTTTGATATCTCAAATGCATCTGGAGATCTGGGAGGCTTCTTGCTGTCTGTTGACATTCAAATAATGGAGGTCTATGGTGACCGAGGCAGAAAGGTCCATAAAAGTCCACAAAAAACGTGTCAATATTCCTCCATACTGCTCGTCCAATGTATTCCAAGTGTCCTGAGTTGGTAGCGTCCATAATTTACTCGAAACGAAGTCATTTAGAATGTTTTTAGAGCATAAACAGTAGTGTATAGGATTTCCTAAAAGCGCGCACCTGCGAGTTCACGAGCCTATGGAAACTGCGGCAGACCAAACCAGATGAAAGTGCGCGAGGAATATTGACACGTTTTTTGTGGACTTTTATGGACCTTTCTGTCTCGGGCACCATAGACCTCCATTATTTGAATGTCAGCAGACAGTAAGAAGCCTCCCAGATCTCCAGATGCATTTGAGATATCAAAAAAGTACTCCAGAGTGTTGTTCAGCATGGGGGTGAGTAGAAAATGAAGGCTAATCATGTTTTGGGTGTACTATTCCTTTAAGCGATCACTAAATTAGTTGATGATTATTTCAATTACCCATTAATCAAGATTAATCCAATTCATTGTTCCAGCCGTACTTCCAAGAGTGATATTTCTAAAGTCTGTTGAATATGGTGAATATTTATGGACTAAATAACAAGAGGCTGCTCACTCTTTATATCTGTAAAGCCTAGCAACTAGAAGCTGTCGATAGTCCACAAGTTTACTATAGCCCCATTTACACTACCCTTTTGAAACCATGATACCAGATCGGTCCTAGCACAGTAACTGAGATAACTGTAGAGTATAAATGGCACGTAAAACTGAAACAAACCGTCCCAGACACAACCAAACCGTGCTAAACTGGTACTTGTTCATCAGTTCAGGCTCGGTTCTCAGATAACATAGAGATTATGAGCAGACCGCGTCATCTCCTTACAGTCAGCCTCCGTAATCATGAAATTTCAGACATTCATAAAAAACAAACTTCCATACCGTTACATAATGTCCAGTGATGATTCTGCTTGGCAGTGTGATGAACCTCAACCTCTATCATTGTTTCCTGCCTCTGTAAGCCCTGATTAGACCATCCTGAATGTTATGGGTGCCGCAGTGTTGATTTGCTTGTTTACCTCTAGAGAGCAGTAGTACCGTAGATCGTCACTAGGAGGCGAGGAACCATGCTAGGGTGGTGTGTAAACGGTTGTAAGGAACCAATTCATTCTCGGTCCAAATTCTGCACGGATTGGTTTTCAGCGGGTAGTGTAAATAGGGCTTATATGGTGCAGAACATTTGTCCGCCAGCTAAAATTATGTAATTCAGCCTTGCGGTCCTTGCAGAAGTGTCAAGCATTAATCAAGATTTAAAACAGTGATGATGGAGAAGACCAGTAAAGAGCAAGTTTTAGACATGAAAGAAAAGAAGAAACCAAGAAAAAGCTTCTGAAATCTGGTGCATCATGATTCTTCACCAGACTTTACTTTAGTCGACCCTAAAAAACCTCCAACGTCCAGGAGGAGTAGAAGGCAAACACCAATAGTACCAAACCACACGTGCTGAGGTGCCAAATGCTGTCAAAACATTAAAAAAACATAGAAAAACAATAAAACCACAACTGGGTGTGGCAGCCCTGTGGTTAGGGCATAGAGCTTGGAATCCCGAGGTTCTGAGTTTGAGCCCCATTCCCACAGAATGACACTCTGATGGCAGCCCACTGTTCTCCAAGGGGATGGGTTAGATGTAGTGATAAATTTCTCCAATGTGAGATCAATAAAGTTCAATTATTAATGTCATTCTTATTGTTTCACATGTGGCAGCTTATTTGACGTTTCAAAACCCCTTTTTGGTGTGACCAGTTAACAGGTTAACTCTCTGGATTAGGGTGGAAAGAATTAATTGGATTAATCTGGACTGATATATAAATAATCAACTAATTTAGAAATCGATTAAGCGTTAACTGGAGTATAGAGACTCTAAAATGTGTCTGTAGCTGACAGAGCAACCCAATTAGAGCAGTAATTATATCAAAATTGTAAAAAAAATATATAAACATTTTGCATTTCAGGAGAAAAAAAACATACTTTTAGTTTGTCACTATGCTCTATCCAGAACTCCTATAGTAGAAAAGTTTTATTTTCAGTTTCAGTAATTTGGTAAAAAAAAATCTTCTTTAAGAAACTTCTGTCTATCCAATTATTAATCCAAAACATAATCGACAAAATAATCGATTTGCAAAATAATCATTAGTAGCAGCCGTACTCTGGATTAAAAACCAAAAGAGGAAAATTGCAGATTTAGCTGCTAGTTAGAGGGATGTCTGGGCTAGCTTCCTGCCTCAACCTCAGTTTTGCAGGATCGTTGGTCAGTGGATGATACAAAGACTTTAAAGTCTTTAGTTTGTTTTTTATAAACTAATTTATTAAAGCTTTTGATCAATTCTTTTAGTATCTTTATCACCCAGAGACAAA